CTTTCTGAGCTTGTGTTGTTTCCCGCAAGAACACGGGCTCAGAAGGAGACACTTTAAAACCCTTGCGAACTTGAGATGCAGTATTCCTTCATAAGATTAGAAGATAAAAAATTCATTAAAATTACAACACTTAACTACCAGTAAAAATTACAATAGTAATATTGAGATTAAGCGATAGTCAAGTAATATTTGAAGAGTTCATACGCAAACACCCATAAACGCCATTTCCGTCAAAAATGAATCAAGATAGCCATTTTTTAGCTTATGTTGCCACAATCCTAATTATACAATCGGTTTATCCGCAAACCCCGATAAAGTCAACGTATTTTGCACCACAAGCAAACATTTTTTTGCAGAAGACTATAAACACCATTCCATGTTTTTGGCAAAGGCCGATATATGCATTTCAGGCAATCAGTGTGCAGCTCTGAATTGAGGCAACTGACACTCTCGCACAGGTAGTGCATTGTGGTCTAGTCTTCTCGCTTGGTAAAGACGTAAATCTAGTAATCTCTTTAAAATAATGGATAATTTCAATGATATTAAATTCGCACCATTGGGATATAAAGACAGCGGTGCCCAGGCAATTCTGTTCAAGCTGTGGCCACGAGAACTAGGGCCTAAGCCTAGGTAGGCCTAAGTGGTGAGGAAAATTTTAACCATGTCGTATGCATACGGTGACCCTGGCCTAGCTACAGTTTGTTGGCTATCCTCTCTGCCAACGATCTTCCTTGTGTCCAATATCGTGTCATACATAATAGAATAGTAAATTAATTTGTAATAATGGTATTACATTTCAGTTCCTGCTGATGCTGGATTTGTATAAAAAAAAAAATCAGGAGGTGGATTTATCTGTTTTTGATGCAAAACAAAATCAATATCACCAAATTATCTTACTTAATGAAAGTTTACATTTTTCAAATTTTAACAGTATGATCCTACATTTACATTTACATTGATTTAGAGCCTGCATTTTATAAGTTTGTTGATCTTTAGAAGAAGGCTTATTAAAAATAAGTAATTATCTCAAAACTAAAAACTAGGATTTATCTGTTTTTGCATATTAACTCTTTATTTGTTTCCTGAATAAAACAGTTTGTGTTCTACTGTAAGCATTTTTGCATCATATAGAAACAAATACATAAAAAAAAATTCATATATATATATATATATAATTAATTTTAATTTTAAATTGTTTTGCATTATATGGCCGTTTGCTGTTTTATGGGTTTTTCCCATTTGCCTTTCAAACTTTAAATATCATTGACAGTGGTGAACGGAGCGTGTGAATGTGCTATAACGCTACTGAGAAATTTCTTGATTTCAACGTTTCCTTCCACTGTATAACACCTAACAACCTACTGATAACACCTTCGTCTTTCGTTGTGTACTGTTCTGTTTGTCACGGATATTTTTTTTTAACGGAATTGTGTTTCAGTAGAGAATTTTCTAGGCCTTCACCTCTGGCTTCTCAAGTTGCATTCCTTCCTTTATTCAATGCTTTCGCTCACCTTTTTCCCGTCATTAACTTACGTAAGTGTACCATTAAACAATAACATCGACATGCCTGTGCCATTAGCGGCTGTCCAAGCAACTGCCTGTAGCATTGCACTGTTTGTACGTTTTGTTGTGCCATATCTTAGTAAGGGTACCTGGAATTCCTATAATAGTCAACTTGCCGTGCGACTTAGGCCACTTCACCATGCTCTCTCTTCAGATGAAATTTTACCACAAGAAGTTGGTCTTTCTTTTATTACAATTTTGGATTCGTGATCACCCTGAATTTGTAAAGGAAGAAAGACCTAAGACTAATCGTTAACAGAGAGATCCGAGAACCCTTGTAGAAGCACGGAAAATAAAAAATAAACTGTGAAGACAAGCCTTTTCGCAAGAATGCATCTGCTAAGGCTAAAGCAGATTTCTTTTCTGCATTGAGAGCTTATGACTTCCTGAAAAAGAACAATGATAAAGAAAAGCTTAAGAGATCAACAACACACGAAGAAAAAATCTTTAAAAATAATTTCTGGAGCTTTAGCAAACATCTACTAAACGACACATTATATGCGCCAACAAAGCATCCATCTTTCAACAAAGCTATAGCTGATTTATATTTCAGCAATAGATATTCTTTCCCAACGCATATCAACTATGAAGATCTTAATTGGTTCCCACCTCTACGGAAACATTCTGATAATATGTTACCTTTTAATACGGATCCAATTAAACCACGAGATATCAAGAACATTTTAAAAAACAAAAACTCAAACAGTGCTCCTGGTCCAGATAAGATTCCTTATGGTGTGATCAAGAACTTACCATCTACGCACCATTTTCTGGCCACACTTTTCAACAAAATTCTTGCTACAGGAATCCCAGTTTCCTCATGGATGGATTCTAACATCATCCTTATCCACAAAGAGGATTCGAGCGATGATCCCAAGAATTTTCGTATGATCGCACTGTTATCAACAACTGGTAAAATACTTCATCTTATTATCACCCATCGTCTTGAAGAATTCATGGCTTCAAACTGCATCATCAATACAAATGTTCAGAAAGCCTTTATGAGAGGGACCAATGGTTGTATTGGTTGAATCTGGTTATACGGTCGAACTCACTGCTTTTGAAGTCGGATCTCGTGGGTTCATCTCTGCCGATAATATATCTCGCCTAAAGAGACTCCATAAACACCTCAATAAACCAGTTTCATTCAAAACCTTCCAAAACAATATTTCTAAACTTTCTATTGTCTCCTCCTTCAGCATTTTTTTACGCCAGAGATGAACCCACATGGATCGTCCCTCCCTATCTTAACTTGTGATTTTTCTCTGCTGATTCTTGTGTTTGTCCTCCTGTCTCTTGTTCTCGTCCTGTAACCTGTCTATGTTTTGTCTTTATTTCCCTTGCTTGCCCTATTTTAAAGGCAAGATCTAGGGTTTCTGTTTTGCTCCTTTCTTTGCCATTTTTGTGTTATAGGCCTATATACTTTATTATTGAGGCTATTTTTATACTGATTTAATTTAATGTTTTGGCAAATAAAGTGATTTTACTAATTAAAGAATCTCAATTGAGATCCAGCGCCGCCATTGTTGCACGGTAGAGATTGCACTTTAGATCTCCGATCTTGTTCACAAATTCACGGACTATTAGAAATAATACCTTAAGGCGAAAATACTGCCGCCAAGGGGAAATTTTAACGACGTTAAGGCATTGAGTTCTATAACGGCTATCTTGATTTATATTATATGCAACTATTTGTTTCTAGCCGTATCTATTGTGTAATGGAGTGTATCTGGTGGTATTTGAATCTGTTCGACCATGAAGCCTCCGTGGTCTAATGGTTATGACGCTCACCTTGACAGCAAGAGGTCGCAGGTTCGAATCCCGCCAGAGGCATTTTATTACACAATTTTTTTATTCATTTATTTACAGGACTACATTCGTTGAGGGCTATGCTACACGATGAATTATTATGTCCTTTATTTAATGATCCTTAGGTGTTATACTACCACTGTGGGAAGTTTCATGCTTTCTGCCAAAAGTGCATGATCATTCTCCTTAGATGCTCTACTAAAGCGACTCAAAGAAATATTATAAATTAAGTTCTCAATAGAAAGAACTCCTTATGAATTAGTTTGCCCAATGGATAGTAGTGTTAAAATAAACTTAACATATAATATGTGCAATACTTGAATAATGGTATCACTATGGGTTTCACACCGAATGGTTCTAATGCAAAATGTATGCAGCCATAAGATGGCATCATTGTGGGTTTCACAGCAAATGGTTCTAATGCAAATGTATGCAGCCATAAGATGGCATCATTATGGGTTTCACACCGAATGGTTCTAATGCAAAATGTATGCAGCCATAAGATGGCATCATTGTGGGTTTCACAGCAAATGGTTCTAATGCAAATGTATGCAGCCATAAGATGGTATCATTGTGGATTTACCACCAACTGCTTCTAATGAAAAATGTATGCAGCCATAAGATGGTATCCTCGTGGATTTAACACCAACTGGTTCTAATACAAAATGTATGCAACCATAAGATGACATTATTGTAGATTTATAAAAGGTTATAATTTTTTTTTAACGCAAGATGTATGTATCTATGAGATGGCATCATTTTGGATTCAACACTAAAAATAACCTATGCAATTACTGTATATGCTAGTACTGTTAATACTTACTGTATGTTCACTATCGGATTATAAAACATTCTTGATATAGTACCTTTGTAGATTCAACTCCAGATAGTTCAGGTGCTAGATGTAAGCATTTGACACCTTTGTATAAATTATGTTATTAGAAAAAAGCCGTAAATAAATAGATGGTCATCACAAAGATGTTGCTTTTCAAGTTAGCTGGAAACTCATTATATTGACTTTTGTATTTAGAAAGGTAATAATCAGTGGTGGATCAAGAGATGAAAGGTCTTGAAGTGGGGGGACTCAATGATCAGTTAAGGGGGGGGGGGGGCGGGGGGGGGGGAAGGCTAACTAGCAAAACAGGGTGGTTTTATGTGCTTTTTAACAACTTGACCATGATTTTTTGGGGCGGCTGAAATAGAAACATGTCATTACTTAAACAAAAAATAAATAGGCATACTGATTAATTTTTAGTAACGCGTCTGTGAATTAAGTTATCGCAAGTTTCTACATTTTCCCCTGAATTTGTGATAATTCGTTACAACGCATAGACCTCTGCTGATCGCGTGACAAATTTATGATCATGCATGTATTTCTGCAAAATGCATGTTTCTCTCAAAATCCCTTTGAAATGCAGGACCATCCTACACGATGCGAGATGGTTGGTAACTATGAAATACTCACTTGTAAATAGTAATAATTACCTGGTCTGTTTCATGTACAGCCTTCATCTCCTCTTAAAATACTCATTAGTAAATGGTAATAATTATTCGGTCAGTTTCATTCAGCTTCTCTCATTTTATATATCGACTCTTGAAAAATACAAACTGTGAAAGATAATAAGTACCTGGTCTGTTTCATGTACAGCCTTCATGTTGTTGAGTTTTCGTTTCTCTTCCTCTAACATTTCTCTGTACATCTCTCTGGCTGTTTCTTTGTCTTGCTCTTCACTAAATCACATAAACAATATTTTTAATTGTATATTTTACATTCTTTTATGAAACTACAAGCAAAGTTAATATGAAAATTATATTTTGTAAAACCGAACTCAGAAAAAAGCATAAATAATAGAAAATTATTAAAATAATAAATGAGAGCATCAATGATGCAATAGCTTGACAATGACATCAAATTTGGGGAAAAATTATTCACCGCTCAGTTAACCTTTGGAACAATCTTCCCTCAGATACATGCAATTCATTAAATTCTTTTTAAGTTTTCATTCTTTCAAAAGTTTGATTTCATTTAAAACTGTTTCCTTTTGCTTTATTTTTTTTAATAATAATTAGTTTAAGTATTATTTCATATTTTATTTTATTTTTGACTGTTTACTAGACCTTAAGGAAGAACAATATAAACTGATTATTAGTATTAAAGAAAGATTTCTATCTATCTGTAACGTTTGAGTGTTGTCGGTTGGAGCTGGTGTGGTCATGGAGAGTCTTGTTAGTTACATGTATTGAACATTTCACACTTGCAGTCACAAAAGAGAAAAGAAAATAAAGTCATAGTATAGTTGAACAAAAACTTCTTTTCACGTGGCCAGCCATTTATGCCATTTGCTTATTTCCGGAAGAAAAAAGGTAGATATCATCCAATATTCCTGGTATAAAAGGATTATATTTCGATAGAATGCATTATTAACAAGTATTTACTGATCGTCATCAATATATATTCAATTGAAAATGAATGGCTCTCATTAACTGTGATAAGAGTTTGATTTGACCCCACCACATTTCTTTTTTTATTCCAGATGGGTGTTTGTCTTTTAATAACATTTATAGATCACATTTTATACAGTATTTAATGAATTTGTAAAGACTTAACAAACATTCTTCCTTTTGAAAAAGAGTAACATCTATTGAGCAAGTATATAAAAAAAGTTGATGAGGTACCATCTAAATTCCATAATATACTTAGTAGCGACTTTCTGTGGTGGCGCTGTTTGTTTAAATTTCATCTTCCGAAAAAAAGACCATGGAGTAACTTTGGTATTTATTCATGTTTTGATACACTTTAGGTGAATAAGAAAAAAGAGATATTTTCATGGTAAGCAAGCATAATTGTTTTCCCCAAAACGAAGCAAGTTTTAACAATGTAGAAAATGACCCAAAATTAATCCTCAAACTAAAAGCTCAGAAGTTTTATGAAATTTGTAAAATGTTGTTAATGACATCTTTGTATTGAGGTAGAAAAATTAGATTTTTGGAGAAACCACTATCATAATTTTTTTGTAGCCAAAAGCTAACAAACATGTTGAAGCATATTAATTATTATGTGAAGAGCTTTAACTTTTATGGTGCTAATAGTTTAAGAGCAACCACATTATATATATATGATTGTGTATAAAGTTGCGTAGTTTTTGCCAAAATTAACATGAGAATCGTATCACTTTTACCCAGTGTTTCTTGATACAAAATGTTGAAATTTTAATTTTCTATGATACTTTTCTGTTATCTTGTAAACAAATTTCATATTGTGATTCTGTAATAAGCAAAATATAAGTGACATATCTATAGGGTGTGGTGGGTTTAAATAAAAGTTCCCAGTGACTTTTGTCATTCCACTTGGCATTATGGAAGAGCCCAAGAGGATGGTGGGTTTAAGAAAAGTTCCCAGTGATTTTTGTCACTCCAATTGGCATTATGAAATAGCCAAAAAGCTGTGGTAGGAGGTGATGTTTAAGAAGTAAAAGCTGCAAGTGATTTTTGTCACTCCAATTGGCATTATGGAATAGGCCAAAAGGTGTAGTGGGTTTAAGTAAAAGTATCAAGTGATTTTTTTTCCCCTTAAGATCTTTGTCACTGCAATTGGCATTATGGTCATTGCAATAACATTTAAAATTTGCAATTAAAAGACCAGCTGATTAAAATGTTTGACTACTGGTTATATGTTTTGATACCTGACCTATGTTGTGTTATTCTCATATTTTCATTTCTCAAACATATTGTTTACCACAAATATTACAATATATAAGATAATGGAGAAGATGAATTTCCTTATTTCTATAATTTATGAGAAAGACAATAAATGTTACCCATCTACCGACAGTTAACTTCAATATAGATGAAATTCCTTATTTCTCTAACTTATGAGAGGGACAATAAAAGTTATCTATCTACCTTCAACAACTTCAATATAGAGTTTAATTTAATAAATGGACAGTAATTTAGTCATTGTGGAAGTAAAGGAAATAATTAATAAACAGATATCTCAACCCAATCGTAACACTATCCATTAGAATTATTAATCAAAGTACCAAATAAGTTTTAGAGTGTAATTATATTGTTGTTTGTTGTTTATATTAATCTTGCACTCTGTTTTGCAATGTCTTATTAAATATTTTTGTTATTTTTTTTTTATTCATGTAATTCAATTCTTAATATGTAAATATTTCATTCATCAATTTAATTATACAGTATATTTTTAAGTCAATGCATTTTTAACAACTTGCTCTCAATTCTTGCTGCAAATGCGTAATTTTATGTATGACTTTTTAATGTGAATATTTAAACCAGAATATAAATTCTGGTTTTTTAATATTCCAGAATATATAATTCTTTCACATATTTTACCCCATGATAATGATAATAGTAAGTAATTGTAGATTGTAAAGTGAACAATGCTCTGTTGATTATCCCAATTTTATGAGAATCTGGTGCTATTCTTTTCAAATTTTTACTTCTGACAATTATATTTGTACATTGTAAGTTTATTATACACCAAATGGACTTCCAACATGTTATGATGGACCAATAAAGTTTCTTATCTTATGTTATGTGAATAGGAAGTGTGTGTTAAAACTTACATAGACTTTAACCGTTGGACATATTCATGTTCTTCAGCATAGGTTTCTATGGCAGCCTCTGATGCTAACTGCTTTGCAGTCTTGATGTCTTTGCGTACAGTCCGTCTCCTATCAATATTACCTGAATAATGCCCTTGAACTATTGAAATAAAATATACACTAATAATTAAACAAGTGAAATTACTCATTTGGAATTAAGTATTTAAAGAATAAAATAAAAAATTTGAAAATATTATTCTTAATGATTTTGGAATGAAAAAGTTGACATCTCTTCAAAATTAATTTTTAATTTGTGTGGTAGTTCATTCCAGCTTTTGGATGATCAATATAAAAAAGTTCTTTTTCCCTGTCCAATATTATACATTGGAAGAACCAGGTTATTATGGGTTTGGCTATGTGTGCCTTTATAATATTGTGGTCTGAAAGCACATTTTGGGCCTTACTTCTGTAGTAGATTGATCTTGCCACTGAAAGCAAATCGCAAAGCTGCAGTGGAGTTGAATAGCTTGGTGGTTAAGATGCTTGCCTTCCAATCCCAGGGTCCTGGGCCTTACTAAGCCATAAAAAATTCTCCCTGTGAACCATACCAGGACCATAATCAAGACTATAGTCAGCCCCTTTGTGTGGAGCCATCCCAGATGTCAGGTTCCTGTTCAAACATGTCATTTACTGTACATATTGATGCACCAGAAATGCAGGGACAAGTGCACTTTTTACAGAATATCTCCACCAGACACTAAAGAAATTACCAAATTATTTACTTGCATGTAAAGTTAAAGGTTGTCATATGTATATTTAATACTAATAGTAATACTATGATAACGATTTACTATTGCTATTAACATATTTAATGTTGGCTTATCTTATTTAGCGTATATTTTATTCATTTCTTTTATGTTTCTGGCTTAAAAGTTTATTGTATCTGCTTGTAAGCTCACTGGGTTGCCCTCTTGGATTTATATCAGTCTGTTTTTACACCAAAATAAATAAATAAATAAATACATAAAATATATAAATAAATATGTCAAATAAAGTTTACCGAGTTTAAGATTGAATCTGTGTTAGTGATTAGAATCGTGAGGTTTTATAATCAGGGAACAGTGAAATTTAACCCTGGAAATAATTCATAGTGATTTTTTTTAAATTATTATTATTTATTAGAATTTTGCAATGCTTAAATAACTAGATCTTTCTCGATTTTTTATGGACATTTTGAACTCTGATAGTAATCAATTTCATTCAAAGTTCTGTCTCCAATGATCACACACACATTTCTTGTCAAATTAAACTGCAGTTTAGGATATACATGGGGGTTGGGGGTTGAAACCGGAAGTTGCCAACATACAAAATACACCATTTTTGCATTGGGAGTTTATATTAAAAGGGTTGAGTTGAGATAAAAATAATTCTACCATATATGGCCAAAATACATATCTTTCAGTTGTGTAAGTTGAATTTCCATTGTTAACTGTCTACGTAGTTATTTGACCCCTCAAGTTTAGGGTACGGGAGTCAATTATTGAGCTGCGGCCATTTTTGAATTGTCTTAAATCTGTGATAGTTATATCCCAAATAACTAATCGCCATTAAAACATTTGGTCTCAGCCAGAAGTTGACCACACAACCTAATGTAAAAATCATAAAATAATTAATTTTACCCAAATAAAACTGATTTTGAGATGCTCATAACTTCTTAATGCCTATTCAGAGCTTGATTCTAATGCCAGAATCAGAAAGTATGGTCAATACTGGACCAAAGTAACAATTTTCAGCTTTCTAGTTGTCCAGAAATGAAAATATTGCCTTTCAAGTTTCAAAGGTGTGTCTTCAAAATTTAAAATTGCCGTTTGTTGTTTTGTTTTTATTGGTTTCTCCACACACAACATAAATAGTACAATGTATTCAAACTTAACTAACATTACAAAAGTAGATAAGAAAAAAAAATGTATATATATATACATATACATACAATATACACATACATATACATACTATATATATACATATACACATACATATACATACATATATACTGTAAATTAGATATTAAATAAATAAGTGTGTGGATGGAGGCCAAAATAAGTTTATACAAACTTTATGTTATGGCCACCAGTTAAAATTGAATAAATAAAATTGAACTTTTAATTACGAATCAACAGACGTTTACCATATAACTTTAACACAAAATTTATTGACAAAAAGGATCGACGTTTCGTGTCCATCATGGACGCATTCTCAAGATCAAGTGAACAAAAATAAATATAAGATAGTAAACCAAGCTGTCTCTTATACACATCTAGATGTGTATAAGAGACAGCCCTTAATTTTCACATCAGTGGTACTTTCTAGGGGCCAGTCAGCCTCTGCCAAACTGCTATACTCAGCCTGATCAATGGGAGAGTTAAAAAACTATGTGTGAATTTTGTAAATCTGCAAGCTAAAATATTGTTGCCAAAATCATTTTTAGAACATACAAAATTCTGAAAAGGCTACAGTATGAATTGTGTTGATGTGAAATTGCAAAAACCTATGGGCTGTGAAAAAAGGGGCTTTTACTCATCTTCTTTTTCTTTATGAATTAAATCATTTATGTTTTTTTATTTTTGAAAGTAGGTATCAATGTTAATTGGCAAATCAATGAATATGTAATACTATGAAGTAGAGTTGAATAGCTTGGAGGTTAAGATGCTTGCCTTCTAATTCCAGAGTCCTGGGTTCAATTCCTATGACAACAGGACCTTTTCTCACAACTAAAAACAACTTCATTTTGTAAGCCTCATAAAGCGACTTCGCTGATTAAACTATCACATTACAGTACTTCATTTATTTAAAAAAGACCCCTGAATATCAGTCGACTTTCTGGAATACGCTAGAAGGG